CTGGCAGGTATTGGCCTTTCTTAATATCCCGACAAAGTAACAACTGAAGGACATGTCAGATCGACCCGGTTGGGTAAGAGTTTGGTTCAAAGCTGTCACTGATGTCATCCAATCAGATAAGATTATTGGTAAGATCAACCAATTTAACTTTTTTGAAAGTGAAGTATATATATCCTGGACATCCTAGACAAACGTTTTACGGGTATACAGTTGGTCGACATTAAATGGGCATAGGTATAGTATAGCACTTTCTGTAGGAGGACAAACTTCTAGTTGGACATCAAAATGTATCCATATATATGAACTTTGCTACGTCCGTCCTTTCTTATGCTCTTACAGAAAGTCTACATTTGTTGCCATGAGGTGTGACTGCGCTGTTACTTTGTAATTGTTGTACTAGCTCGAAGGATCAATAGAAGCAACAGGGTTATTGCCCTAATCAAAATTCACGTGTGTACAATCCCAGTCGATTTATTCTATCGGTCAAATTCAGCTTGCAGATTTGGGTGTAGGTTCGTTCAAGGGTTCTTCATATTCAGTTATTTCTGCAGTTTTCAGTTTTAGTTATTTCTGCATAAGTTGGAGTTTACCACTGTATACCTATACCTTTATGATGAGAAAAAAAATAAAGAGAAAATATTTGTAGGCATCAGATTGAACCAAGATCGAACATTGTGAACTAATGACCTATCGACAAATCATTACAAGTCAGTTCAAATTCTAACAATCAAAATAACAGGGTTATTGTGACCTTCTCAAATAACCAATCAGTGCCATGAATTTAATTCAGACGTCACAATTAAACCGGTAATTTGATTGGATATATGAGATCACCTGACAGATTGAACTGAAAATTATTCGATTGAAATAGTAGAAATTAATGTAATGTATAAATCCAATTCAGTAAAGATAATTATTGGTATTTTGAAATTCGTGTATTATAGTCCACTGATTTCTTCAGTCTATTTGTTTAGTTTGATGAAAAAGATTTCGATTACGTATGTTAGTAATTTAGATTCCAATTAGTTTTACGTAAAATATAACGAATATGAAATGGGTCATTCTTCTATTAAACTCTCAATATTGAACATCAAGACACCGACATTTTTACACGAATGTAAAACCTAAGGTTAATTATTAATTAAGAAAATTATGTGCCAGTTTCTATATAATGGCCAAAATTCCTTGTCTAATTATTTTTACAGGTTGATGTACATATCTGTTCATTTTGTCACGTACATGAAATGTTATTAAATAAAGCTTAGACCGCCGTATTTTGTACCATAGTGTTTAAGTTTGGGAGGTGAGATAATACATTGAATAAGGAAGATGTTCAATTATTTTATATTTAATCTCTGCTGTTGTTCATATCGCAATGGAAACGAGTACTGCTCGACTGTAACTTCCTAACCGAATCACTAGTCAAATTTACGGTAACTCGTCAGTTCATTTTATGAAAAATATTTCTTAATTGGGAGCCCCTTTTTAATACTTTATCATGTTCTTCTTAATTGGGAGTCCCTTTTTACTAACTTACTATTTATATGCATAATGTCTTGACATATACACAATAATGACATGCGTGCATGAGGAAATGCACGACAGATTATGACATTTGTAAATTAAACCTTCATGTGAATTTTCCCATGAAGAGTATATTAGATAAATAAATAAATTTTGTTCCCTATACTTCTTTTCATTTTGACGAGCTTTCTTATGCAGTGGTCGAAGCATCTAGCTTTGGCCTAAGCGGTGATCCAGATAATTTTAAAGAATTTCCTTAAGGAGTAACCTCATGCCGACTTTCTCTATAAAAGAATTCTGAACCCTCTATATGTTTTTTTATATTATGTAATGTAGCATGCTAGTTAAGAACTAGATTCAATTCCTTGTCAGGGCTGCATGTCAAATATTGGCTATGAAATTGACTGTCTTCATGTTCGAAAAACTCGTTACCTTATGGTGAATTTTCCTTTTAAAGAATATCTTGTTCATTTTGTTGAACTTCCCATAGCTCATAAATGCATTCTGGTCTACCTTTTCCCATGAAAAAAGCCCGCATCTTATATTCAAGTAGCTATTGATTTGATTAGTTCAACCCGGCGCTAACTCGGGTGTTTTTGGCTACCTCTTTCTAGTGTCAGTGTTCAAGCCAACTATGACTATGAAATGGACTGAAAAGTATATGTAACTCAAAAATACTTTGCTAATTTGGCCGAATTTACTATTTCAACACTAAAGACATATTTACATTGACTACTGGCCGTTGACTCTGGATGGCTAATTGCAGGCTAGATTAACTTGTTGCATCAAATGACCAATGTACTTAGTAAAGGTTTTAAATTTTATATCATTATTCTCTTGTATATTCAATAACAAACAATATCTACAATTAATAATAATAAAAAAAATACAAAAAAGAAACAGTAACATATAGCAATAAACTTGATGAATTGAAATAACAAAATATAAACTGTGTTATAGCAATTAATTTTATTTTTAAAATAATTTATTTTCAAGGAGGCCAATTTAACGAAGCAGTATGACATTTATGCCACACTTCGGTTGAAAGACGTCCTGATCTTTATCTTTTACAAAAGGTTTTCTCCTGATTACTGCTTGAAAGCGTCCATCAGACGTTATATTTCCATCCAAAAAACAAAAGTGAAATTTAAGGATAAAAATCGGCTATGGTTTTCTAAATTATTTCAAAGCGTAGTAAGGCAGATTTTTGCTAAGAATTTGAAATCATTGCACCTTTTGTTAAATATCGAGCAATGATGACTTCGGTGAAAATGGTAAATCAAGCCGTCAAGAATTGCAATTTTAAACAATGTATGAAATGTCTCGCTTTCTGTCAGCACCGTTATGCTATGAATAAAAGCAGCGATTAATGAAAATCATGATAATGAACTAAGTGGCCAGGTATTGTTTCATAATAAGCTCTTATCAAAGATATGAGAATGATTATGTATAAATACCTAAATGGAATGGGGTACAAAATAAATTTTTAAAAAGTTGGCAGTATTCAAAATTTGGATAGTTGTATGGAAGCAATTTACAATTCAATTTTTATACATCAGATACGTCATTTCCTTCACACACAATACAAACACATCCATGCAAATCACACATTACCACATTTTCACAACACACAGTTTTCTAATACATGAAAGGTTTTGTTTTGCGGTAATTTTTTTTTTATGAAGATGAATATTTTCTTTCGCTTCAAGTTTTCAAACTGTCTACAAAATCGATTGATGTTCACTTACGTTTTACTAAAAAGAACATGGTTATTGAATCATACTGGAAAATTCTGAATTAGTTTATCAATATTATCATCGCGTAGAATAAACATATTTAGCGTCCTTGGCACTTCCTTAGACATTGTCATTTTTAGCACATCTCTTTGGTTACCATTCTTTTAAAAAGTTAAAATGGCAAGAACTTTAACACAAGCACTTATTTATTGACACACTCATTCATTCTGTCAATCATTTTCTGGATGACGTCACGCTGACACGAACGTTACACAATCACATCTTTTTGTAAAACGATGTCATGAAAATGTTCATCCGGGCTGATTGTGTAACTACCGGAAGTTGTGGTACTCGCGTCATCATCATGTGACATGTTGGAAAGTTGAGTGTTGTAAGGTAACAACATTGTTCGTGGGTTGGAAAAATCCCGAAAGCTCTCTTGTGACGTTCCACGCCCACTTGTAGCGGTGGAATAGCTACTATTGCTTTTTGGTCTATTGAACGACCTGTCCTGCCTATAGCTACTGTTATTATTAGCACTGTTGTTATTCGCGACTAAAAATCTCGGCTGTCCAGGCTTATTTCTATATTCACCGATTGAACCGTCTCTGTAATACTGGTCAAAGGAACTGTTTCTGTTTGAAGATACTGGAGCCTGCCATTGATGTTCTGCAATGAAAGAAAAGGAGAACAATGAAGATAAGTAACTGATTCAAAGATAAAAGAAATGAGCAAGGGGAACGTGAATTAATGAAAACATTGACTGCAACGAACCAATCCTTGGGTGTTAACGTATGTTTGATAGACAGTCGATTCTAATTGAAGATTAAGAAAATTCTAGGTGTCATTTGAATTCTTTAGTGTAAACTAAATTAATTGTGCCTTTATCTTTAATTCAAAAAGGAACAGACGATAGTATATATTCCTGTTCCTGACTTATGACAACGAATTACAGAAAAAAGATGTAAAATCCTAAAACCTAAAATCTGAATCTTCAACCAACCCACCAAAAGGCTTAGTTAATGATTTGGCACAATACATAGTGAGTGTTCAGAAAGATTTCGGTAGTTTATCTTGTGATTCAAACTTACTTTTTTCATTAATTTGGTGTAAATTGACTTCTTCCTCACTTCCACCACGACCACTGTCACTAGTAATTGTTTCTCCTGAAGTATCACTGTGTATATCGTCGTTCTGAAATACAAATTTATAAACTTCATGAATAATGCAACATCCAAGTCTTTTTAATAATAAAGGGACTAGAGATTATCGAGGTATATGTAATAAATATTGGGTTTGGGTGGATACGTATCACAGCAAATGTACATGAGCTATTGAACAAATTATACAACCTATTTTGAAGTGATCAAATGTTTTTAAAAGCTTGTCAAAAATATGGGGTTCATAACTGACCAAGATTAAGATAAAATTATTATTGCTTATTTTGAAAGGAATTTGAAATAAAAGGTCGCTTACATGTAAATTGAGATTGTGTGTTGGCATTAGACCAGCTCGGGATAATGCGATATTTGTAGGTCTGGGATGATACAGATTGTCTTTGGCTTCAGTCGATTCGTCCAAACTAAAGCTCACCTCTTTTTTCTTTCCAGGTACGTCCGTTTTAGAACCATCGAAACCCCTGCCTCTTGGGTCTGACTCTACATCTCCATATAGGCCATGAGTAGTTGATTTATCGCCGTTTATTACTGGAACGTTATCAAACACAGTATCAAGTTGTTTTGGTTGGGCGGTAGCTTTTCTCTTTTCTCCTCGAAGCACCAAACAAATTGCAGTAATTATGATCAACGATAACACACAAGTTGCTCCGGCGACGGTAGCGGCAATTACTATGTATTTATCACTTTTTACTGGTACAGCATCGCCCAAGGTAATGTTATCAAAGCTAGCTTCAACACGTAATTTGGTTGTATCAAATAAAACTGGATTGCCCGAATCACGAACTTTAATTGTCAGGTCATAAATGTGATCGGATTGTAGCTTCCAATTATTGACCACCATTATTTCTCCACTCTCATCACCGATTTCGAAAACGCCTTGGTCATTTCCTTCAACAATACTAAAATGTAATTTGCTATTTTCCTGACTGTCTTCATCATAAGCAATTATCTTTCCAATTACTGACTTGGATTCAGGAAAGGCTGAGATAAGCACGGTATGGTTGCCTGAGGTTGGGAACAACACTACAGGTTTGTTATCATTAATGTCTTTTACAGTGACAATAACGTCCACAGAATTTGTCAGGGGTTTCGATCCTTTGTCCCTTGCCAATGCAGTGAACGTGTACTTATTGTTGTGTTCACGGTTCAACATCTTCGTTGATCTAACTGTTCCATTGGCAAGGACCTCGAACGGAACCACACCACCTTCAGAACCGGCCATAAAGTATTCGATTTGTCCATTCTGTAAATCATCCTTATCTTCAGCTTTGATCTGACCGATACTGGTTCCAGGTACTTCGTTTTCTTGAATGTCCATCTGATAAAATGGTTTCACAAACGCTGGGCGATTATCATTCTTGTCTAAAATATGGACGACAACTTGAGCGGAACCTACTAATGGCGATGAACCTCTATCAGTTGCCAAAACAGTAAATATTATCTTGGATTCCTCTTCTCTGTCAAATATAGAACGAGCAGAAATAATACCAGAAGAACTAACTGATATTCGCCTGTCATTATTAGCGACGGAATAGTCAATTTCTGCATTTACACCAATATCATCATCAGTTGCTCTCACAGTTACAAGGAAATCCCCTATGCTATTATTTTCTGCTATCGTAGCGTTGTAAATGCGATGACTAAACACTGGGGTTTTATCATTCACATCCGTCACGAGCAAGCTCAATGTGGCTGTGGAACTCATTGGCGGTTCGCCTTGGTCTGTGCAAGTAACCCTAAGGTCGTACGAATCCTGTGTTTCCCTATTGAGCACTGTGTTTAATAGCACTTTATATCCTTTACCGGCCTGTATTTCAAGTTTAAAAATGGAAGTATTCGAGGTTGTGCATTCAAATTGTCCACTTTGGCCTGGGTCGGAATCCTCCACCTCTACAAAGGCTACAAAAAAGCCAACGGTTGCAGATTCCGGAATTTCCATGACATCTGTTTCTCCAGTAGATAAGGTCGTCATTGTTACACGCGGTGGATTATTTCCGTTATCCAAAATGTTCACTCTCACTTTCTTCTGGGTTTTGAGTGGAGGACTGCCTCCATCCAAGGCTACAATGTAAAGATCTTGGGAGGTTCCTGCTTCGTAGCTTAGATCACCTGCTACTGTCAAATCTCCACTAAGTCCGTCGATATTGAAAAGAGATCGTCCTTTGGCTGATTGTAAAGGGCTGAAGTCGTATCGTACCTTTCCATTTTGACCAACGTCCATGTCAATAGCTTTTAATTTAAGCACCGAAAAGTTGATGGGGGTATCCTCCTTTATGTTCAAAATATAGGTACTGTTCGTAAAAACTGGAGGATTGTCATTTTCATCCGTTACTGTAACCTTTACACGCATTGTTCCGGATTTTGGAGGATTTCCACCGTCAGTGGCAACTATATTAAAAGAATAGTTTTCGTTCTTTTCCCGATCCAGTGCAGTTTCAAGACGGAGATTTATAACAGAACTGCCGTCAGAATTTTTAGTTGATGTTAACGAAAATATGTTCTCTTGTAATGTTAAACCGTATTTTTGAATTTTATATTCTTCGAGTGAGTCTCTATCAGCGGCACCGGTGATTTTGAATTCTTTACCAACTTTAGCTCCTTCGGACACCTCCAAGAGCACTTCATTTGCCGGGAAGGACGGTTCATTGTCGTTTATATCCAAAACGGTTACCTGCACACCAGCGATGTTGGAAAATGATGACTCAGAATGAATGGCAACGTCGAATTCCAGCACACAAGTACCAGAATAATCACAAAGAAATTCCCTATCGATACGCCCGTTCACTTTCAGTACTCCATCTTGTTCGCCGATTGAAAACAGGGAAGCTGGTTCGCGATTTTTACTGAGAATTCCAAAACGAAGACTTGCTTTCTCGTCAGCACTCATGTTGGCATAAAAGGTTGCACTGGATGACAAATCACCGACGTCTGAGCCAATTCCTGCTTCTTCTTTTATGGTAAATTTAAAATCCGGAACAGCTTTGGAGAGTTCCAACAAACACAAGAAAAAGACGACACGAAATTTAATTCCAGACATTTTGAATTGTTCTCCAATAATCCTAATTTTATTAAATGTTACTGATTCTCTAAAACCATGCTTCACCAGTTGAGTGTACCAGTTGAGTGTCTGTAATTTGCGATCCTGAAAAATACAGAATAGAGTAATTTGTTAAGATAGTGGTTGAAAGAAGAACACAATTTTTACACTCTAAATTGTTATGAAATCAGATCTAATCTTGAAACCTGAATAAGGAGATTTCTCTTAATACCTTTACGAATTATGATACAAATTCTGATATATCCCACACACATTCAAGTCACATTAAAAGCCGAAATTGCTTAGTTAAAATATCCATACGTAAAAGTTGCATATAAATAATCCTCTTCGTCGCACAACTAACTACAAAGTGCACACGGGCAACGTGAAGTAACAAATTATATGAAGATAAGATGCGACATAACTGGCGTCTTTTAATCTGGATGAGACGAACAAATTGAACAGTTATGATGAGTTCTTGTGTTGTTATGCTAATATCTATGGTTACTCTGGATACATATATAAGTATCAATTATAAAAGAATTTATTATAAACATTTATCTATGTGATGAAAAGTGTAAACAGATACATGACTAAGGAATAAATGGTCAAAGAGAAGGGTAACACTATTGGACGACTTGTTATGCTCCTAACAAAAACTTCATCCAGTTGCTTACTAACATAACACTTGCCACTATTTTGAATCAACAGTTTCAATGGACAAGGCTCCGAGGCTATGACCAATACCACCACTTACGAATCACCCAAACTAACGATATAGGTAAATAGCGTGGTAGAAAGTGTGAAAGGAATGTTTACTTAAGACGTACTCGGGGCTCTACGTTTGGTAAATAATTTATCTATTGACGAGAAAGAGATTGGGGTTAAGTGTGCTCCTTGTCTTACACCGCTAGCATCAGTAAATAAAATGGTGTATACTGTTGTCATTATTTCGTAATTTCACGTCATTCATTGTCTATTTGCTTATTTTCAATTTCACATTTATAAAAAGGATTTAAACACACGACATTATTTTGACAGGATTATGCCTAGTTATCAAACTATTTAGAGCTTCTAACATATCTTTGGTCTATGGTATCACATATGTTTTTATTTCTTTTAACAAAGCTAATATTGAAGTTTGCTGATAATCTTTGGTTATTTTTGGTCAATATTGACAAAATAAAAATTGTATTTTAGCAAAATCGTTCAACTCAACCGTTTTATTCATGATAATATACTGGCTGAATTAGAATTGAATATATCTCGGTCAGTTACAAGAAAGTCGAGTACATTTTTTATTGAATCAGAATGAAACAAATTATAAAGCATTTTCATTACCCAATGTCTTGAATGTTTACGAAAACTTATATGTATGTTTATTTCTTCGGTTACATTTTCAAAGTGTCAAATGTATGTACGTGAACATAAAATGCAAGAAAAACAGCTTAAACTAATGTTAGGTCTTGTTCTTCGACAACATTTACAAATTACTAATGTCTGGCAAAATCATTCCTTACGACAACATACAGTTATAACATGTACAAGAAGCCCAAACACCATATTTCAGTGTCGAATACAAACTTCAACATGAATGTTTTTCTCAAGGTTTGGATAACATAACATATTCATTTGAAAAAAATCCATTAGCGTTCATCATTTTTAAGTCATAACATGCTGTTTTAGGCATTCAAGTAATAATACTTAGGTTTCAAAGCAAATTAATTCTAATGTAATCGCATTGCAAAACTTATAACGAATTGAAAGAAAAATTACAAACTTCAAACAAACTAGTGATTTAGATGGCGTGAGTAAATAAACGAACACATCTTAAAGAATAGCACTGCGTGTTTAATTAACAAAATGACTGCGATTAAATGCAAACTATATAAAAACTGTTAAAAACAACCATACAAAAAACGTCTTTGAAAATAAGGTTTTTAAGATCTAGGTAAAATAGAATATATAAAGGTAATCAGATAAAGGCTGGAACCCAAAGCGTTTAAAGCGACTGACTATTTGAGTAAATGGAATTCATTTCGGATCGTACAGTACTAACCTTGTGAAGGCCATATATCCACGTTTCGAAAACACAGATCAAACAAATGCTTGTTTTAGACACCTTCACAAAAATATGCTGCTATTATCTATATGGTATGTTCAAAAAACATCCCTTACAATAACATTCAGTATTAATTGTTATGGTAACTGATATCCAAAAAGGAGATCAAAACTCCAATATTCTTAAAATCCAATACGTTGTTAACAATTTTTTCGACGCAGATCACAGTAAAACCATATCACTAACAAGAGTGTAAGGTTGTCTTATATTCCGAATACACCCCTTACAATAACATTCAGTCCGGTCCTACACGATATCGAAGGCGTACTGTCATAGTAAAATCCCTGACACCCTAAGCCCGTTCACGTCATTGACTGTCATCGTGTGTCAACTCACGGCTTTGAAACTTTGTCAGAGTCATATATCAGACAAAGCAATCCCCCATAACACTAGTCAATCTGTCAACCACTTGTCAGTCTATATACTGTCCTTGAATAAATGAATAGGTGAAAATCCAGGTTTATAATAACTATCACAAAAACATTGATCCTTATGGATAGTCTGAAATTTTTACATTGCATTGCAAATATTGGTAACAATGGAGAATGAAATTCTCATATGCACGGGCTTATGTCAAGAAGCTGGAACTACGTGTATATATTTGTGCTGTTCAATTTAGCTCAGTTAGGATATTAAAGGAAATATTGGGTAATAATAATCTAATTAATATACTCCAGGAAGAACTAGAATTCGTTTACTTCAGTTACATAGACTAGTATGAGTCTACTAGGGATCCTTACAAGCAAATGTTGACTTTGTAAGTTCGGAATGACTTTTCATAGAAGAATTTGAAAACATAAACAAACGTTTATAATGATTCAGAAAGTACTGAAAATACAAAGAAAAAGCTATGAGGGAAGTCATACTATATGACTTAATATGATTTATATTGTATACCTAAAGGGGTGGCTCTAAAAACAATGACAGTGTCATATAGTAGCTAAATCAAACAAAAGTGAACTAATTGTCAAACATGATTGATGAACTATACTGACATAATTGGAGGATATTGGCAGTCATATCTGTCAAAGTCAAACCTATTTCTGGCACTAGCAGTATGAGATCATCAAAAATTTATAAATATATTTGAGTAAGAATAAGCTTGGGTTGAGAATGATAATTATTTAAAATGATCACAAATCAATAAGTCTAATTATCAAAGACGAAAGAACAGGCAAGTGTGCGAAGCCAGGGCCAAATCATCGCTTGCATTTCAAAGCCCATGTTTGCACTTTCTGTGCTTGTTGAGTCATGTATCAATTAAAATTATCAGTAAAAGTCACAGGGCGCTTTCTTGATATATATTGACAAATTAAACAGAGGCTTGCCATTGGAGGCATATATAGGCGGCTTAACATCCTGTGGAAGTCCACCTTACTATGTATGTTACAGTTAATGTTAGCTATTTCGCCAAATTACGTCAACATAGCACAACGTTGTTTGGGTGTGAGACAAGGATCAATATTGAAGCCTGTTTTATTATTACATTGTAGTGACGACACAAAGATTTATTTATTCAAGGTAATGGATGGACCCGATATCTGGGGGCTATCATCTAAACTAAAGCCTCCTTTCAACCTATCTCATTTCCCATTTACTGCTAAACAATAATAAATAAAGTAGTGTCCTTTCCTGACCAGAACACAATGGCGAGTATACAAAGCCCTTAACTTGACAAACACACAATTCAACACAGGGCAGCGAAAGGCTTGGGTGTAACTCAAGAAAATGGCAATATTGAAAAGAATCGAGCAAACATTGGAGTGAAATTGTCTTTTTTATTACATATACCATTTTACTTTGTACCCAGTCATGGCAAATTATATAATGATTTTTCAAGTTTCCTCAAACATACACACCTTTCATTAGGATAAGAAGTGTAGAAAAAGATAATAATCAAAGACGAAATAAAAAATAGAGACCTACAGGTGGATTTTTGTACTTTTTAATAATTTGATCTTCAGATCAATGAGATGAGAAAAGAATCTTTTTAAGAGAAAAAATTGGTTGCAGCATATTATTCCAAAATATAGCGTACAGCTTGAGAAAAGACATATAACAAGGTTTTTAAAATGTCAATAGAGGCTACCGTATAATTTTCGTTGATCTGATTATAGTGAATTGTGTGCTTATGAATTTGGGGTATAATTTTCATGTCCTTAATCACAATGGAGTCTCAGAGGTTGAATAACGTGACACATTTAATTACTTCGATTCATTATACGCTTGACAGATTCCTAAATATGTACGTGAATAGCCTTGCAATTTCATTGACATCGAGTATGTAGCACGCAGCCAAAAATATATTAAAATTACGTTACGCAAATATCAAAACATTGAAAACTGTTTATGTTGAATTCATCCCCAAGCCCTACGAGGATAATTGCTTTAGAAATTTTTACTTCATCCCAAAAAGATGATGTTAAGTAAATAGTCGATGGTGCAGTTAGGATGTTTGTTGAATAGAACGGCTGAATTGAAAGGAGCATGCATTGAACATCGTGAATAACACTCTTTGTTGAAACGAACGTCATGATGTTTGTAATAATTTAAGCCTCTCGATTCAATAACATGTATAACAATGATTTGAAAAAAAAATATCCCGAATTAGACGGTGTAATTGAGACACACGAAATAAGATAATGAGGCAATGATATACTTGCACTGGATGCTCGGTGTGTAGAAAAGAAAGGGATCCTATGCATAACATTATTTGACTCCAAGTAGATAATTAAGTCCAAAAAATAACTTGCTACAAGCATAAAATCTACTTGTGGCAGGTGCAGCGATTTCGATT